CCCGCTCCGGCTGACCCAACCGCCACCGCTTCTATCTCAGTCAATCTCCGGCAACGGTTCCGCCTCCGTCTTGGCCTCCGCTTCTGTCTATCTCCCCTACCGGCGGATCTAGTTGCGAACCATGAATTCACGCCCCCCCCAAAAAAGTAGAATTTTCGTTTATTTTCCTTTATTTGGCAAAATCCATATAAATATTTATTTATGTACGAATGATGTAATTATTTAAACAATATTATTGGTTAGTATCATATATACTCCTATTAATAATATACAATATGTTAACAAATATATTTATTATTTAACTATAATCTACGACCCCCTCCCTAAATGATCGGCTGGACCCGCCCCAGGTCTCCGCTTCAGGTACCTCTTCCATCATGTTCGTCTCCACTTCCATCTTCGCCTCCATCTGTCTCCGGCACCGGTTCCACCTCCTCCTTCATTTCTGCCTGTATCTCAGCCTTCGCCTCCGCTGGCGCTCTCTCCACCTCCGCCTCCGTCTCTGCCTGCGTCTCAATATCTGATTTCGTCCTTGGACCTACCTCCGCTCTGAGCCCGTTCTGAACTGCCTCACCGCCATCACAGTCAGAACTTCCCAATTCATAGCCCTCTTGAATGCCAAATATCGAATTTCAGGCCTTTCCCCGCAAATTGAATAATTACAATATGAATCCGCAATTTCAAAGCTAACAAAACATTAATTGTGCTAATGACCGAGATTTTTGCGTGATGTATTTGCTTAAAGAAGCGACAATACTATAACTGAGTAATTGGATATACTAGAATTAAAAATTTCTTAATGTAAATAATGTAAAGCCTCGCTAGTTCCGACTCGTATAAGAAATTTTCTATAATTCCAATTTTACCTTTCTATCAGAAAGCCTCCACACAGATGTCACTGATCACTCATATGATACATATGATTTGTATTTAACTAAATATAAATTACATATATTTAAGAATAATTATTTCCAAAGTATCTACTTACTCGCTATTCTAAAGCTTTATTAGTGTTAACTTGAAAAAATCTGTAATTCGCAACCATCTCCTTTGTGCTTCTTCATTCGTATTACTTTATCACACAGCCAGCCTCCGTCTTTCCTGCCGCCACGTGGACGTACAGTGGCGCGTGGTGAGATAGCCGGAGATGTTACGACTACAGAAGGGCTATTTTTCTTTCGAGACGTCTCCCGTAAAGCGGTGTTCTGTATTCAAGATCTTCGGGAGATAACCGGGCAAGAAGGGAGGTAGAAGGAGGGTTTCGTCTTTCGGATTCTGAGGCTTCTCGGCAGCCAGTGTCGGCGCAGCTCGTTGTTTTGACGTTTCCAGTATTTTTCTCGAATGTATGTATTAAATACTACGTGAACTGTATGATGGCATGAAGATCAATCAGGGTTAACTGTGAGCGTATACTGTCTGACCCACGAGGAAATGTGAAGTACTGTCGCGATTCTAGTGTGTCTGGAAGCAGTCCTAAATTGTTCTGATTTGTATACGAGTATAATGTGCATTGTATTATTCCTGAACGTTTTGCACGTTTATTTTGTACAAGGAAGGAAACTGGATATCTATTTCCAAACTTTCGATTGATTTATATCAACGGCTAATATTGTTATCGAGAGTGTAGTGCATGTTTTGATAGTTCGGTCCCGGTGATCTTGCCCCGCTGGACGGTGACATATGACGCCGACCTACCATCGGCTAGCGGGGTTACCCTCAACCAGGTATCTCCTACCAGCGGGGCATCGCCCCAGCCGGAAAGAAATTCTAACCTCTCGACCGGTCTCCCGACATGTGTGGTAGTGTAGTGAATGTAAGTGTGCGTACGTAAGGGGTGAGGATAGGTCAAGGAAGAGGAAGAAAAGATCGCCCGCGGTCCGTGGCTCTTTTGTTATGGTACTACTCCGTCATTCATCTGGTGTTGTTCGGAGAAACCTCAGAAAACTACCGATCAGAGCAGCCGGCCACTAGAATTCTCCTCCAGACAGCGACTGAATTCGACCTAGCTGATAAGCCTCCCACCGTCGGGACTCGCACCTAGGACCTCCCGATCAGAGGCACACCATCAGTTGATGCCCTGAGCCACCTCTCCCGGTATTTACTCGTCCAAGGAAGGAAAGATTGGAAATCCATTTTCAAACTTTCGATTTCTCATCAACCACCCTGCCAACATTGCAAAACAACCCTAACCACTTTCCCCTCCCACTGACTTCCGAAACGAAGCAGGAGTACCTTCGGCATGAAACCGGCTCCCCCTTCCGGAGATCCTCCTCACTCCGGGTCGCACGAGACTATACTAGCTCCCCAAACACAAAGGGAGAGGGAAAGAGCAAAGAGAGAGAGAGAGAGAGGGGGGGTGCACTTCCCCTCCAATGTTTACTCCCCATCCCTGGAGCTCGTCTGACGTCACGCAACGGCACCGGTTCCCGGAAGGAAGTTTGAATTCCCGGTGCGAGCGGGCGGGCGGGCGGCGGGACGAGTGTGGTGAAAGAGGAGCGGGGGGTGGGGACCTGGGGGGTTACTTCGGACAGCTGAATCTCTTTCACAGCCTCCCTCCTTCCCGTCGCGAGGCCGAGTTCTTCTGAACACAATGCACGGGTCAGCTGGGAGCCAAAGGAGTAAAAGGTTTTCTCTTGCACAAAGCTTTCGGCCAGTTTCCCGCGCCCTTCGGGAGCATTTTGCAAAACAAACCGAGGGAGATGCCCAATTGGTTACTTGCTTTTGTTGGAAGGTCTCGCGAAAGCAGTGGTCAGGCGTTTGTTCGCCGTCACAAAAATGATGGAGCCGCAGATCGCGAACAAACGCAGGCACAAGGATGTTCAATTAGAGTGTGAACGGGTGACAGGGCCTGCTAATAGGCGCAGGAACGCTGGAGCAGATAAAGGGAAATAAAGCCCGGTGATTGTAAGGATGCCTGACCTCGGTTGTTGCGACTTGCTCTTGTACCTCTCAACCACCCGGTTCCGAAATGTGGGAAACAAGTCCATTATTTCGGTGATGTACAACCGGAACAACTTGCAAGCCGCATACAGACGGAGTCTTTGTTATCGTAAGATATATTTTCGAAAGGAAGGCGACTTTTTCAGAAAAATACCAAGCGTTTGTCTGGCAGGTTAAGAGCTGGCATCTCATAACGAAATACAAATTCGAAAAAACCTCCCCTCTTGACACTCGCTGCTAAGTGCGAACTGATAAAAATGATTATCGTAAAGTCGTTCTATGATCGAAGTCGGAACAACAAAAGTTCTTTATTTGTTTCTTAGCTTATAAACTGTGGAGAAAAAAAAACAACTATTTTTTTGTTCATACATACTCATTCAGATCCCTAATGATTCTAGTTTGCACAACCATATTTATAGATAATAATTTCAGTGTTTTATAATTCAGTTATTATTATAACTCCAGTTGCATTTTCGTGCTCCATTCAGAACTTCGCCAGAACTGTCTACACCTAACCTGCGCTACAGTTTCTTAGAATAAATAAACTGGCTCACGCTGTTTGGAGTCTCACGTCCAGGCCAGCAAAGTGCTGCAAAAACATTAGTAAACCAACGAGATGAGTGAGATAAAAAGCGTATCGTGAGTCTCCGTTGAATCACCGGAAGCAGTGTAACCTGATGCCTCAGATTTCAGCGCGCGTAAAAAAGCTTTCTCCCACTCTTGACTTCCAAGATAGTTGGGTGCTAGACCGCAACTTTTGGAGCTCATTAAAGAAAACGTTTGCTGTTTTTTCCCCTTGAACTATGAAACATTTTTGTCATTAATGTGGTAAAGGCCGCAATATCACGAAAAGCATTCTCTGAGTGGGAAAAAGGATTTTATTGCAGGAAACATCCGGTTAAGCGCTGTTTATGGACATTTCTCTAATTAACTCTGCGGCATCTTAATGAAACTTTGCAAGTTTTGCGAAAGGGGAACTATAACTTCTAAAGATTGCTTTTTGTTGTTAGTCCGAATGGCTTTGTGGTGACAAAGGCGGCTCTTGTGATGTAGGAACGGACTGCCCGTAAACGGAGAAATCCCTCAGCAGAAGCAGCTGCTCTTTTATGTAGGCGTCAGGGGCGCAAGCCGCCTTCGCCACACGAGGCGGTCTAATTCGCTCCACTCTCCTGTTAACACACTGCTATGACGACACGAAGGGGTGGATCACTTCCATGAATGAAACGGACTCCGTTCCCACGAGTACTGTGTACTCGCGGTTACATTTATTTTACTTAAACTCATGAAGATTAAACCATCGCATAGTTACTATGCTTTCTCGTAATAAGATAATTGCATAGACTATTTTTCGTTTTCCAATGTCTGACCGCGGTCTGTTTTAATATTGTAAAATATTATAATTACGTTGCCTAACGTTACAAACTATCAAAGGTGAATATCTTGATCATTTCCCAAAGAATTATAGCATTTTCATCAACTTTATATTGTTTTATTGAAATGACTGAAAACTGCATAAATCATTCTGTGTAATTTAGTTTGGAGTAATGCTTTCACGTGTACTAACAAATAAATTAATTCTAGAATCAAGAAGACATGTTCTAAAAATTCAACAAAAAAAATCAAGCGTGCTTATATTCAATGGGCCCATAATTTCAAGAGTTATTAATGCACCAGGCGTTAGGATACTTGCATTTTCACTGTATTACATGCATATTTTAAATGACTTGAAGGTAGTCCCAAAAGCTGCCTCGAAGTCATTGAAATTAATACACCATTGTAGAATTCACGATCATGATGAAATTAAGAATGTAGTTCGCGAGATTTGGTCGGAGTAGAAAACAAACCATTAGTTTTCTGACATTTCGGAATATTTTTATTCCGTCCTCAGGGCTGGTGTAAAAAAATGCACGAAGACAACAACAATATGAATATACACTTCTCATTTTTGCTTAACATGATATTAATTTGTATAGTATATATTCATATTGATGTTGTCTTCATGCATTTTTTTTCACACCAGCCCTAATGATGTAATACCAGTTTTCCGAAACGTCGGAAAACTAATGGTTTAATTGCTTTCTTCTCCGAGGAAACCCCGTGAACATTCGAAATTATTATAATATTCTAAATTTCCGCTTGATTACATTCATTAAAAAATAAAGTAATTTTGAGAGTTGACGTTAATCCATTCTTTCTCCGCAGCCGGCGCGCCACTCCAAGCTAGAGAAGGCGGACATCCTGGAGATGACTGTGAAGCACCTGCAGAGCGTGCAGCGCCAGCAGCTGGCGGTGGCGGTGGCCACGGACCCGGCCGTGCTGCACAAGTTTAAGACGGGCTTCAACGAGTGCGCGGGCGAAGTGAGCCGCTACATCGGCCGACTGGACGGCGTGGAGCCGGCGGTGAAGCAGCGTCTCGTCTCGCACCTCGCGCACTGCGTGTCGGGGCTGCAGCAGCTCACGCCGCTCGCTTTCACGGCCGCCGTGCAGCCCCCGGCAGCGCCGCCCCCGCAGCAACCGGCCTCCGCCCCCGTCGCAGGAGACGTCAACAACAACCGAGGCGCCGCCAACGCCACCGCGCCCCCCGCCGCCGGCCTACAGCTCATCCCCAGCCGGCTGCCCAGCGGCGAGTTCGCGCTGCTGCTACCTGGCGGAGGCAACCTGCAGGTGAGCCTCTTGCACTCCCGGTGAAATATCTTTGGGATTAATTGCTAACATACGCCGCAGAATACCTCACCTCTCACTTCTATAATAACGTTAGTTGAAGTAAGAATAAATGTTACCAAATAGCGTTATTGACAAACTCAATTGCCAGAAATATACAATTCAACATAAACTTGATCGAATAAAGGTGAATGCACGGTACCTATTCTATTGAGAGACGTTTCGTGTAGAAAACTATTATCTGTTTGTAGATTGACTCCCAAACAAAACCATAAATTACAGAATAAAATAGTTTATGTCTTTTTCCGTTATTGTTTCCATGGAAATAAATTCGCTTTACGCAAAAATTCAACACGTATTGAATTAATCAGTATTCGGACCCCGACCGGTCTTTGCATTATGAATTCACACATTACGTTGTTCGGCTCTTGCCAAAATTATTTTCCATGTCCCGTTTCTGTAATGAATGCTATTGTCTTCCAAGAAAAATGTCTAATAACGGCGTTAAATCACTTAGTACGACGATCGTCAGGTGCCAGCAAGAAGGCGAATCTTACAACATTTCTTACTCACAATTAGTGTTACTCGTGGACACCATTCCTTAAGTTCAGTTTCCTGTGCGGTTTGGCATACATTTGGATCATTGATCAAAATTCTCCTTTAACGAACAATGATACGAATGATACGTTGGAAAGACGTTCATGTGACAGCGCAAATAACAAAGTTTGCGCGTTACGTTTTTCGCATGGTCGACTCTGTTTTCAAACTGATGTAATATTGACCAAGTGTTGATTATACGGCAGGTTATTATTACGTTTCCTGTGAAATGTCCGATCCTGCCATAAATTACATTGGCAATAGGAGTAATATTAATTGTACAGTTCTTTGGAAATTTTGCTTCTATCTGTTTTAAAACCAAACTTCTTAGGAAAATGTTATGTAGCGCCCCTAGATGAATATAGTTTACTGCATAAGAGTATTTAGAAATAGCAAGGAAAGTTAAGATATTAGAAAAGATGGGGTGGAAAGATGAAGCTCTCCGCCCTTTTAAACGCCAGGTTCAAATTTGTTTATTTTGATGTTCAAAAAATATGATAACGTGAGGTATAATTTTCCATATACTTACGATTAATAACATAACACACTATATTGTACCGCTGACTTATCCCACTTACCACGTTATTTCAAAGAGCTGGACATCCATTAATTTCCTTCTCGACTGTTCCTCCCACTTTCCAGTTTTTCATGCATCTCCTTGACGTTCCCCAACACAAAGAAGCGTTTGCCCTAAGTAATGTTATTTCTTGTCTCCACAGGGTCTGCCCTTCTTCCCGGCGCCACCTGCTCCTGCGGGGGCGGCCGCCACCGCCGCCACGCTCATCGACAGGTCGCACCCCAGCGCCTTCACGGCCGTGGACCGGCCGCGCCGCACGCCGCCCCCGCACGGCCTGTCGCCGGCCTACCCGCACCCG